TTAATGACAGGAGAATGGGGTCTGCAAAGTCATGAATTACATGACTTAATGGGAACATTTTTTTATTGCTAGACTGCATCATCAGGTAGGAAGAGGGGGAAATTTTGACTTCGACTCCCAAACTTTCCTGATTTTTGGTTTCACTCCTCCTGCTCCCAAACTACCTCTCAGTCCAATTCCAACTGCTCCTTAACAAGTGCCACTTTTTTTTTTTTTTCCTCCACAGCTTCCGCCCAATCCTAAGAGGCTTCATTCCTGTCCCATCCTCTCCTGCAGGAGGGAGAGGGAAACAGAAGCCTTGATTTTACAAATCCCATCTCTATCCTTGAGGTCGGAAGAATGCATACAAGCCAGCCAGCAGGACACATGGATGACTACCTAGGTCCAGTACATGACCACATGCATGTGTCAAATTGAGAACAAGGGATGGAGCCATTGTGCATCAGAGCTCCAATTGCCTTACTTTTAGGACTAAAGAGTAGACCCAAGTAGGACGAAACGGAAACAGTGGACGGACTACGGTAAGTCTCCGAACTTGAATGACTACAAGACCACATTCACAAGGTCATAGTAGAAGACTAAGATAACTATGTCTTATCCACATCAATCCAACCTTCTCTTGCCTTCCTCATCTTCTTTTTTCCATTACTTCCTTCTTCCCTTTACTCTTCCTTCTCTCTTATTTTTCTATTTTTTAAATCTCACCCTACCTTACCTTTCCAATTCAAGTGTGATGGGAAGGGTCACATTGGTCCAATGGTTCTATGTTATGAAAAAGGTACGGACTACATCAGTTGGTATAGTAGGATCGGGTTCACGACAGTCGTCCGTCATTGATGGAAGAAGGAAGGTTCCTGCTATATCCAGTTCTCACAAAGGAAGTTATAGGGGGTTACTTGGGGGAATATGGCCATTGGGGTAATATGGTCCTTCAGAATGAAACTCCTAACAGACTGAATAAGTAGTTTAGGTGAATTTTAAAAATAGTTCTATCAAAGAGTCCATGCAATTGGCAAATTGTTTAGGCCAGCTCATTAATCCAGTTCTCACAGGGATTTGTGATACATTGATGTTTTCAAAGTCATGGGCATGCAATTCTTCAACTCATGGCCCTGAAACTAATATGGTTTTTGAGCAACTTTAGCATATATTTCCTAAAAGTAACATGGATACAGAAACCATTTGCTCAAGGTTGTTCTATGGTCCCTCCAGAATGCTTGTGGAAAGTGCTAGCCCTTTCACATGTGGTTTGCAGGCAGTGTTGAGTTAAAACAGTACGTTCGGTTATACCCCGTTATACCGGTAGAGCTAAACCCCATTATACCTTTGTAGAAAGTAAAGTACCACCGTGACGTGACTGGATAACCATCACAGTCGAAGAGTAGTACACCGACCTTAGGCAGCAAAAGATCATCCTATACACATCATCTAGATAGATGTACTGGACATCTGGACAAAATATGCATATTATGCAAGGTACAAAATTTCTAATATCTCCAGAAACATTGAACTCTTTTCACCATTTAGGGATCAGAGAAACACAGAATTTATGCAAACACAAAACATGGTAAAACAGGCAATATTAACTCTGATGTAGAAAGATGATTTAACTCACCTGCTCAGAAACAGCCACAAAGAGAAAAGCTTTTTCCTTGATGAGCTTGTAGAGAGTATACCTAGCATCCTCATGTTTAGCATTGACCAGGTCTTTGTCCAGTTCCATCACATCCTTCCACTCCTCCAATGTCACTCGAATCTTGGCAAAGTTCCTGGAAAGCATATGTGAAGGGGCATTGTGATAATCAAGGATGGATGTCTTCCAGTTTAGGAAAGGAAGAAAAAAAAAAGATGATTCACTACTGGTAGACCTACTACAAGAAAAGGAGTACTTATGTACAAAATGAAGATTGCAAAAAGAATCAATATGATTCTTAAAATAATGTGAATATGTGACAACATATTAAAATTGTCTGCAGTCAGGGAAATAAATAATATTTTCATCTATATTTTATTGTCAAATGACATTCTGCATAACCTGGATGTCAATATCAATATCAATATCAATCTCCAGTTCAGTATAAGCATCGGATCCGTTACTACAAGGGTCTCCTCCCAGTTAAGATGAATCCCCATCTACCAGATTTCAACAAATTATGAATATAGTAAGAAAATTTTGGCATTGTATTTTTGTGGAAAAAAAATCCAATATTTTCGTGGGCAATGTCCAAACTTGAGTACAAAAATTTTCTTTCCCCACCTTACTGATAGTGATCAAGCAAAATCCCACCTGTATGTATTACTTAGAAGTCACCTATCATACCCTTTTAAAAACCTCTTTCATAAAATCATGAGATCTGCTGAATTTCTTCTGAGGTTTGTGAGGTTTTGAAAAAGCCATTCTGTCCATTTCATTTTTGTTGCTACTTCAGAAAAAGTTCACTTAAGCCAGAAGGAGTTGCTTTAAGGAATATCTTCCATGCCTTCTACTGGAAATAAGAGTTTCCCTAGGATTCCAGAATTCTGGAACACCCTGTATAATCTCCACAGTCAGCATCAGTGGGTATGAGATTGTCATCACCCATCAGCATCTCCTGAATTACAGGACTATTAACCTCTTAAGCAGGTATGACAGATACATCTGTTCCATACCACATATTTCTGTTGCAACTTATCTGTACTAACATTCAACTACAATTAACAAAATTAATGTTAGCTGAAAAACTGTTCCAAACATAAAATCCGTCTACTTTATTGGGTAAAAATTCCCCCATTAGCGGTAAACCCTTGGACTGAAAACTTTCCAGAAGAGATGAAAGTGATATACAAGAGCTCTTAGGCCTATCGATCAATATTATGGTGCATCAACAGCAGGATTGGAAAACTTACTTTAATGGTTGTTTGAAGAATAGCCCATACAGGACATACTGAGCTCCAACACGCATCTGGAGAGTGTGTGGGGGGAACCAAAATTGTCTGGCTATACTCAGTGCTTTTTCACTCCAGTACATTGTTTCTACAGTATTCCGTCTTCCACTGTCAAAAATTGCAGAAGGTTAATATCGTGTTGTAGTCTGCTTGAATAGGTCTACATTTCACACTTAACCATGAGCCTCTATTGCTCTCTTCAGTATAGCATGTTTGGAGGAAAAAATTAGCAAAAAAACTCAAACTTCAGGCTAAATCTATCTAATGTTAATAGCTCACCAAAATATGCTGGCAAAGTTTAATTCACACCAACATTTAGCAAAATCTGAGAAGCGAAGGCTGTCACAATCACAGAACTTCCGTAAAAGAAGATTGACATCTTCCCGGAAGGCATCAGCAACTGAATCAGGGTTTGAGGCATCCTGATCAACTTTTGCCATAGAATCCCTTCTTTCACATCAATATCACACAATGCTAGGTTTTGAGTAGGCTCCTCACCTAGTCTACTAGAATTACTGACCCAGGTTCCTAGAATGGAAGAGGATAGATAAATATGAAAACTGGGATTGACTTTCCACCCAATGGAGCTAATTCAAGTCTATAATATGCTACATTACACACTTGGTGCTCATTATAATGAAGTAGGCCTTGAAAAATTTATCAATGCTTGGTTGGCCCCAGCATCTCCCTGTACAAATTATAAAAAGTTGTAACAAATTACAATATTGCTAAATATACCTTTAACAAAGTATTTTTTTTATCAATCACCATAAACAAGCTTTCATAACAAAATCACAACATTTTTGGGGCAGTGCTATCCCACAACTAGCCAATAATGGAGTGGGAACATGGTTTTAATTGTGGCAATATATGTATTACCTTCATGCATGAGCAGACAGTTAGTTGTGCATTTGAGTTGTTGTGCACATGCCCAGAGCAATACTATACAGGATAAGGTAGTTTTTTTTTAATACTTTATAGGTATAGCAAAAATATTATTTCGTTTGTCAAAATTTTGTCACAACATATTGACGAAAATACACTAAAACAAAGGGAAAACAATACCTCCTTGAATTTCATAACAGGGAGCATTAACTGTATTAAAAAAAACAACTCTAATTCCTCTCATCTTCAGTGGGCACAGAGAGAGACAGACATAAAGATCCTCCCCTATCCTATTGGAGGCATCTAATTTCATAATGATCTCTGAAATGCATTTTATTATGGCGCCTCCTCACCTCTTGGTTGGAAAGTTTTTGAGTTCATGCATATTTTGATATCCTCAGCCAAGGCTTTGGGTATGTAGCTGGATTGCACTCAGGTGTGGACTGAGGTTGACTTCAAAATGGCAGTTCAGTTCTAGTTTCAGTTCAGACTATAGTCTGACTGAAGTTCCACTGTGGTCTAAGCAACTATTTACATAACAAAATCCCAACTGGACTAGCAACTGAACTAAAACTGAAACTTAACTGCAACTGAACTGTGACTGGACTGAAATGTGGCATCTGAATCAGATGAGATTATGGAAACAGCAAATGTGATAATCCATGATCAATTTCATTTATTCCTACAAAGACTTGAGTTGTAGATGATGAAGAAGCTGTCAATACAGGCAATAGCAACATATCAATACGACCTTGGCCATCTCCTCGATGTTATATTTTCTTATTCTCAGCCCCGGGACTAAACCTCTGAATTTTAATAACGAAATTTACCTTAGAAAATTTATCTTTTGAAAGAGAATCCCTCGCCACTTTGGCTGTCTCTCTAACATTAGTGCAAAATCAAGGCCTATCGGCACGGATTTGCTTTATTACATCCACACGCCACTCTCATACTGAGATGGGGTATTTGTAAGTCTTCCCTTAGATCATGCACGCTGAGCGTAAGTCTGCACACAGCAACATTTAGCACAGGCAGTCAGAAAACCAGAGTCACGTGGTCCGTAGCTTTGATGTAGGCGGCCATAGCTGCAACGAAGGATGTTCAATAAGTAATGACCGCACCTCAAATACTTCTTTATTTTTAAAAACTGAAACCTAAAAACCTCTGAGCTCTTCAACATAACCCACACCAACATGAGCGCACATTTGGATCCTCCTGAGCCACTTTTGAAATCAGTCTTTATAGGCTTTTTGTGGTAAATTCCTTGATGTTCAGCCCTGCTAAGGTTTTCAATTCGGTGAAGCTGTCTCCCAACGAGGTTTCCTTGTATGGTAGGGAACGGCCAGGGGCCCATTCCACAGAAGATTTACAAGTACAAGTTCATCCATTTACAAGCAAGTTGAGTTTGGAAAAATGGATTCTGTTCCACTGAGTCAGATGTTTTACAAATACAAGTCTATAGACTTGTACTTGTAGCTCTAATTTCTACAAGACTTTCATGCTTGGTAAATGTATGTTCTGCACTCCTGTGTCTAGCGGAAATAATGAATTTACCTGTTGTGACCATTGCATAGGACAATATAGGCATAGTTCTTATGTGGTACACCTCAGTAGAGTTGGGCTTATGTGATTACGTCACAAAAAAACTTGAAAGAATAAAATCCAGCGCCGCAGGAAATGAAATACCTGACTACATGTATTGCCAGCTAAAGAATGATCACAGCAACTTTTCTTGGCGCCCTCTATGATAGAATTAACCTTGAATGTAAATGTGGACTCTGTCTGGTGTACAACCAATGGACTCAAACAGCTTCCCCACTTTGTTGGGCATTTTGGAATACACCCTATCTGGAATACGTCGACTCTGATCTTCAGGCCAAGAGATGGCATATTCGATTCTGCACATCCAGCTCCTCGTTATATGAGATATCCATACGCTTTCATTGATGAAACCCCTTTTGGTGTCATTCCACGAGTGCTACTCGATAGAGAACTCTGGAATGTACTCAGAACTTGTAATATGAGCTGGCTCCAGTGCCTTGTACTTTTCGATTTACAAGTACTAGCACAAACTCTGTGGAACAGAAAATACAAATACTTGTAAATACAGCCACTCCGCTTGTTACTTGTAACTCGTAGCTTGTAAATCTTCTGTGGAATAGGCCCCTGAATAGTCTAGTAAAAAAAAAAAAAAAAAAAAAAGGAGATAAATTGACCTGTGAGCCTTCTCAAAGGCAGAAAACTCATACGACTGGTACGATTTTCATTCGCGAAAAAAAAAGACATTATTCGATGCTGGGTTTTGGGACGATTGTGAGCCGTGAATTCTTACGAGATTTTGCGACGACGGATCATGAAAATTCGGAGGTTGAGAATAAAATGCATTCCAAAGACATACTAATGATTTAGCGAAGGTTTTTCAGAGGTGGTTTTAAGCCATCCGTTCTTCAATTGTGAAAGTTTCCCCGAGTTTTCTCTACTCGACTCAATTCGTGTTTTCATTTTGGCATTGCGCGGACACCTGTCTGAAGGAAGTACTTTACGTAGGGAAGGAGACCCTGCATCAGAGTGGTAACACCACGACTCGACTGTGGATCCAGTTTTAGAACTTGAAAATTTCCAAATATCCTGTTTTGCACAGTGATTCTCGAGTTGAAATTACTTCCGCCCTACCGAATTTAGAGAGGAGGAAAACTTTGCCAGAACAAAACATCGATCCGCTCTCATCAGTGACGACCCAGTTGGATTTCCCCCCCTTTCCCTCCATATACGAATGCTCAGTGGGATTCTGGCAAGATTTCTGGGAGTGCGGGGAAGGGGGTAATACTCGTTCGCAGAAATTTCGCATATATCTGCACATCCTATGATTCATACTGGTTCCATCATCTGCTGTTGCATCATGGAAAAGCGCGGCGAGCCAAAGGAGCCCATAGTGAGGGGGGTTGGAAATTCATTCCATGAGGATTGTATGAACTTGTTGACAGAGTGAGGCGCTATGTTAAAAAAAAGACATAAACAAATAAATAGCCTACCCTAGGGCAAGAAGCAAACTTCCGTTGCCGAGTTTCACCGCCTTCAGCCGTTATCCTCGCTGCACGAATCCATCTTCAAACAAAAAGCCATGAACTAAGGAAATAAAGCCAAAAGCACAGCGGAATGTTAGAATTGCGTGGAGCGCCACCTCCGGGACAGTCGTTGCAAGTGAGAAGTTCATAGAAAGATCTCGTAGATGTCGCTCTCATCGACTGGGAGTTTTTCGCGAGGTCTTTGTGCACCACTCCGTCTCCATTGCCAAACGTGGAGGTTAGTATTGTGACGGATGAGGATGGCATCGAGGGCACGACTGAATGTCCCGGGTTCGGTGGTGTAGTGGTAGCACACTTGACCGACAATCAGGAGGCCCGAGTTCAATTCCCGGCCGTTCCCTGGCTTCTTTCGACCACTCATGCCTTCCGTCGTCCGTCTCCACTTTCCCCCTCCGTAACAATATTTATGTAGAATGGCATGCAACTTGAGAGAATAAGGAAATGAGATTCACGTGTCCCGATACTCTTACACAAACTTTCAGAAATTGACTAGTATGCCTAAAGCGAGAAAAGGCAGAAATTTGAGAACTTCTAAAAAATCCACATTAGAGATGTGCGGGCTGGGCTCGGCCTACTTGAAAACGTAATGCGAGCATGGTCGGTCAATGGCTCATTAAAAATATTATATTTTCAGTCCAACACCTTGGGTAGGATAGGAGATGAAACATGGAACAGAAAAGCTCAAGACAAAGCACTTTGGTGCCAGATGGAAGAGGCCTTCATCCAGCAGTGGATCGAAAATGGCTGATGATGATGATAATGACCTTGGGTAAAGACATAACATATGAGAGAGATCCCGAGGTGAATGTGATCAGTATCCCATTTTGGTGCTGGAAGTGCATCAACCCATCAATAAGGTATGCATTAGGAATTACTCTGTTGTGTCAGCCTTCCCTTGCATGGCTAGTCAAATTCCACTTCAACTGAGAGACATTTTACTGGCTGTTTGCCTTCTTTCGCCTCCACTGCTGAATTTGGCACACTCTTCAGCTCTTCCGGTCGGTCGGTATCACTGAGCAAAAAATCCATTTCGATATCGAGACGAAGCGAATGTTTGAAGCCCGTTCTTTTTTTTTTTTTGGAGTTCTGGAAATCGGGGAAGGAGTCGAGTGCGCTCGTCGCGCTACCTTTTCTCCGGTTTCCGCGTCTCGATCGCCGAGCGACCGACGATCGACTCCTTTCCCGAGGTCGAAGCCGGTGATTCTGTGGACGCATGCCCTCGACGCCTGGTCTCGGCACGCAGCGCCTCCCCGTTTTCATTCGTCGGGTGGAAGGCGATGAAGGAAGTGCGAGGATCGGAATGCTGGCGAAGTCGTTCCGTGACTAAGCCGTGCCTATTCAACTCGTACAAAGGCCAGCTGGATGTTTCACATTTCCATAATGACGATGCGCCTAATGGCCACGAGTTTTATGCGCGATCGTTAAAAGAAATGCTGACGTGGAGAGAATCCATACTAGTTTGAGCGTATAAGTGGTCTCGTACTTAATCCTGAATTAATCGCGCCGACTGCTTTCATGGCAAACAGATGTCTATTCCTATTATTTAACCTTAAAATTTCTTTTCTTGTCCCATAATGCGTCCATTGAGGGAGCAGGTGGGGAAAATGCGATCACCAGAAAAAATGCTGGCAGCAAAGGCATGTTAGCACTGAGTCAAAAATGTGACGTTTACCCTTTCAGTTAGATCACATGGTCCCAACACCATCATCCTGATTCTTTCTGACTTTCCCCGTTCGCAATCACGCATACCCCTCTGACGGTATCGGTGCGTCAACTTGTGCGGTTTTAAATGCGAGAAGGTGAAAATACCACGATTTTACAAACTAAGCAGTCCGACGATGGCGTACACAAAATTGAACGAGACAGAGACGAGAAAGACCTGTGGGTCTTCAAGACCGATTAAAAAATAATTCTCCCGGTAAAAAAAAAATATATAAGTTGTCTGCTCGCTAGGGCAAGCTTGGTCCCAGAACTGCGGGTATGGGTCGGGCCCTCCTCGCCTGATCCACGCGTTGGGGAGGTGGGAGGTTTGCCCCGCCAAGGAGTCTGGGGTTCGTGTTCCTCGTGGACGAGTCGCTTTCCTCCCCGAGGAGGTTCGGGAAAGTCACTGTCTTCCCCGAGCGAATCGATGCAGCTAGCCCTGTCTTCCGGATCTAGGGTCCATGTTTCCACGTGGATGACGCAGAAATTCGCCTCATAACGCAGTTTCGCGAGTGCGGTCCAATGAATAGACATTTCAGCGGTTCCATCGGCGATGGCACGTCCCTCTCCCTCTCCCCCGCCGAGAATCCACTCCGGGACGAAGGGACCAGACTTCCACCGAGATTCCTCTCGAAGCCGAAGCCTTGATGCCATCAGGGTGATATTTGATATTTCTCGGTGGGCATACGAAAGGTGGACGATTTAAGCTCGGAATCTGAAAATATAGGTTTTTCTCATCAGAAGGGAAAGTACTGCAGAAGCAAAACGAACAGCATCGTTGACATGTGCAAAAATGGGGAGTCTCGATCGACGTTCATTACGTCAGCAAATTTCAATTTAGTCGTCGCCTTTGCCTCTTGGACTAAAATCGACAGTCATTTCACCGAGTTTTAATCACTCGCTCAAACGTGAACTTCGGTGATTCATCAATTAAGGAGTTCTCTGGGAAATGGGCTTATGTGAAAAAAAATACAATTTGAGATGAATGATAAAACTTCTCAGAGTTAATCTGTGGCTGGTGAAAACGGTTTTTTTCTGACTGAAAACCCAATTTTCACCAGCCGCAATATGAATTTGTCAGTTTGTCAAATGGTATCCATATGTCCAATTGACTAATTTACCTTTTTCCAATTGAACTTTGTGTTTTAAAGCATTTTTAAATATTTTTATCTCACATTGCTGGGATGCAGACAAAAAGTGTTTTATGCGCCCTTTCTCCGTGTCCGCTACTTATTCCAACCAGTCTTTCGCCACTTTTTTCAGGGGAAAAATAATCGTTTACCAATAACTGCATCTTCAAGTTTCATATAAACTCTTCCTCAAAGAATGGTAATAAAAATGGGAACATTTTTACTACTTGCATATTTCCAGAGACTTCGATGACTGGGCGTCTTTCGCCTTTCTTCCCTTTTCTTTCTGTCTGGTTTCTCACTCATTCCCACTTTCAGTTCGAAAGGATGGAATTTCCCCCCAAAATAGTTGAGCGGCACAGGCATTAATGGAGAATTCGCAGAGGCAGCCACAAATAAATTTCCAGGCTGCTTGGCCTGCCATCTAGCGAAAGCATGAAAAAAATCTGCTCTTTCGCTGAATTCGCATGTTAACCATGGTTATCTTGCTTGGTAGGGTGGTCAGCGAACGCACTCGCTGTTCATACTATCGATGGCAAGTCACAGCGTATGGGCGCAGATGTGGAAAAAGGGCGTGTGGGCACCCACGCCCCTTCTCCAGAGAACTCCATCTATTTCCGTCACTCTTCCATTTTAATTAATTATCATTTCGTCATGGAAACCGGTTTTCATCTCGTCGTCTCGTCCATTTACTGTGTTTTTCCCACTCGTCATTTTGTCACGAACGGTTTTCGCCTCGTGGTTAAAAAATGAAATGTCATTCGTGACGAAACGAATGGCAAAAGCAGAGACTGCTGCGGTCAAAGTTGATTAATTGTCTTTGGTCAAAGTATATCATTTGTCTTTGTTGCTTGACCGAGGCTGATCCAAATTTTTCTCTGACCCAGCCATTATGCCGACAAAGAGACATTTTTTAATAATTTAACTTGAACGAGGGGAGCCCAAACCCAGCAGCACTGCCAGGAATTTCGGGAACCGATTTTTTTTCTTTAAATAAAAGGCATTTCCGCTTCAACTAAATGCTAAACTGAATGCAACTAAATGTTTAAACTAAATTGGATTCGAGACTCAACCTCGAAAATCGCGGAGCCCCATGACGCAGCAGCGACTCATCACGGCGACGACTGGCCTCGATCGAGACGAAATAATTTCCCGTTCCCAGAAGCCAGCAGACCGAAGGCAGAATTGGCAGGGAGAAACGCGATATACCACGTTTCGTTTGGCAACCATCCGAAGCGAAAACGCCGTCGTACATATTCTTCCCGTCCCCGAACAAGTAGAGCGATATATTTCTTTGCATCCGATGTACGAAAGTGAGAAAGCCATCCTGTCACCTCTCGATTTTAACTCCTTGACAGGTACGGACATATACAAGGTGATTGTAAAGTCACTCATTATTTTAAAACATTCAAAACTTTTGTTCTAACAATGATAGAAACTTCTTTCCTGTAGCATTCGAAAGCCTTGTTTTTGGATTTTTTTTTAGACGATAGATGTTGCGATCATTTGGTAAAAGATGGCGCGGCAGTCGACTGGTAGTGGTTGTCCGAAATTCCAGTTTGGTTTGAGGTTTGGGGTCTATGGTTTAGGTTCAGAGATGGCACCATGCGCGAAGATCATAAGTATGAATCCCTTGACTGCAAGAGAATTAAAACAGTTAAAACAAATTGTTGACAGCTGCTTCAGTAAAAAATATGGACCAAAATGGATGACCTTCAATTGCCCGGACGCAGAGAAAATCATGTATGTGGAATAAATGCTTTCATGCATCCCTGGAAAATAACTATTATGCCGGAGTTTCTGTTGAAGCGATATTGGAGATAATCCATGAAAATTGTTTTAAAATGCTGCAATAAAAAATCTATATCCTTATTGGAACAAAATTTATGAATAAAAAAAATTGGGATTGACTTTCAAATCACCATGGAGAAGCTCGTCCACTTTGGTCTATATCTTTTACTGAAGCAGTTGTCATCTACTTTTCATACTTGGTACAGGGTGGTCGAAAGGTGTTGTTAAAACTTAAATTTTTTTTTTAAATCAATGATACTAAAGAATTACATGAATATGTCAAAACTTTGAGTAAAAGTTCATAAATGTAACGTGAAACATTATACAGTTATGCATGATCCAAGATATGCTCTAAATGCTCGTCTTGGGGCTGGATGCATACTTGGATGCGTCTCACAAAGTTATTGATGACTCGCTCACATTTGGTCACAGGGATTGATCTCATTACGACCGTGATGGCTTCCTTCAGCTCGGGGATGCTGCTCGGCCTCCCCCTTGATGTCTTTGAGATATTTCCAAAGATAAAAATCTGAGGGATCGACATCAGGGGAGTGTGGGGCCCATTCGACGTCAAAACGGCAACTAATGATTTTCTCACCAAAGTGCTCTGTCAACAACTCTCGACTCCCGTTAGCCGTGTGAGGAGTTGCTCCGTCTTGCTGGAACCACTGTACCTTTCTGGACTAGTCTTGGTCGGAAGAGAGTTGTTAGAAATGTAGAGTGGTTCCAGCAAGACGGAGCAACTCCTACCCATCCAAGACGAGACGGATCCAAGTATGCATCCAGCCCCAAGACGAGCATTTAGACCATATCTTGGATCATGCGATAACTGTGTAATGTTTCACGTTACATTTATAAAATTTCACTCGTAGTTTTGACATATTCGTGTAATTCTGTTGTATCATTAATTTTTGAATAAGTTGAAGTTTTAACACTTTTCGTGGGTCAACTTTTTTTTTACCACCCTGTATCATCTCTAAACCTAAACCATAGACTCCTCAAACCTTGAACCACACTGCAATTTTGGTGTAGCCACTAACAGTCAATTGCCGTGCGCCTTCTTTTATCAATCGCCTTCTTTTAGACCTATCGTCTAAAAAAATTCATAAACAAGGCTTTCAAACGCCGCAGAAAATAAGTTTCTATTGTTGTTAGAACAAAATTTATGAATTAAAAAAATAAGGAGTGACTTTACAATCACCCTGTATATACGTCATCCATGAATCTCTTTGACAGTGTACTTAAGTATATATACGTGTTCGAAATTCGCCGCACTGTGGCATTGCCGTATATATACATCGGTGGAACACAGCCTGTAGATGGATACTGCCGTGCCTTAGCGACATTTCAGTTTGCTTTCCAGTGATGTATAGATGCCTGTATCAGATCTGCTGATGTTTTTCTCGAGTGCAGTTCTGACAAACATGGCGTTCACCAAGAAAGGCAGAGTTGTTGTATCAGACTAAGTTGCAAATTTAATTTTCAGTAGCGACCCAGAGGAGAATTGAGTGATAAATGATAGATATAGCAATGCCGAAATTTCCGTATTATCTGGTGAATATAGGGAATCTTAAGGCCGTGATTTGATTGAGGGTTCAAGTTCTCCTGCAGCTAAGAAGAGTAAAACGAATGATGTGGTATGGAAAGGGAAAACATTAATGAACATATCTGCAAAAGTTCATCAGCAAACAACACGGAAATGCAGTGTTTGTAGCGCCGTATGCTCATTCTTACAGACGCAGAACACCCACCCTGACAGCCCAGGCTATGCCTTAAAAACACACCCGTCAAAGGGTTAAGGGGTGCACTGGTGACATCCCTGAAAATGTGACAAAAAATCCCCCGTGCCTTCCCATTATAGGGAAGGCACGTGTGACATCCGAAAGAGTTTAAACGCTTCGAGAGTTGGGTGTCGAAAGTCTCTTATGACTACTTCGATTGGCGATTCTCCTGTGGGCGAGGTGGTGGAACTGCTATTATGTAAGGACAGTAATAGACGCTCGAAGTCGCGCTGTGGTTCTCAAGTTAGTCTCCGGATGGAAGTGGAAAGTCGCGTTTCCGATTCCGACTTACCTTATTTTCCGTGGGATGTATTCCGTCAAGTCGAAAGTGGATCACGGTGACGCTTTCAGACAGGTAGATGAATGAGATGTCTCTGGTCTATTACCCCCTTATGACTTTTTGCCTCGCTTTCGTGACATGTATTCTTCTGCTTCCGGAATCTCTACTTTCTGCTTCAGTTAATGGAATCTGACTACTTTTTAAATGTTATTAATTAATAAGGCCGATTTGTAAGCGTGTCAGTCTCGAGGTTCTCACGGAGTATCGATCTTTTTCAAGTTTACGGCGCAGGCCACATAAGTGGCTAAATTGTTATGTTATTGGGCCCAGAACGGTTGCTACAAGGTTAGGATTGTGAAACATTAAAATATTGATAGTATCTTAAAACGATGCTCTAGAAACGTGATGAGTGAAGTTGTTTCTCGGGCCACCTTGTATTCGTGTAACTCGTGTAGTCAGATTTTGCTCTGCATAGTTAAGGACGATTTACATCATCGACTTATGCTTTAATGAATTTATAATAAATTTGCTCTATGGTATTCAAAATGTCAGAAAGCTCCCTGTTCAGTAGATTCGTAAACACAATTGAGATGCGAAACCGGAGCCAAAGTGAACTGGAATAAATACTTGGGCAAAATGCCCCTTCGGTGCATGCATACGAAAAAAACAAGC